ATTTGGTTTTCCTAGTGGAAAAGTCTTTCATCGTAATTAAAGTGAAAATATTTTTCCAAAATGCAAGGATTATGTCACTGTTACCATCTTCGACAGCTCATTTGACAAAGCAGTTGCAAGGACAGCATGGAAAGAAACGTGTATTCCTTTCTTCTACAAAGACCAGGGACGATAATCTAGACCTGTCTGGTGGAAACTTTACTTTTTTTCCTTTGATATCTTTATAAAGGCAGTATCAGACCAAAAGTTCAGTTAGTGCAGACTGGTTTAGTTCCACTGGAATAAATGACATTACATAAAAGCCTTGGCCTCTGTATATAGACATTGCCTAAGAGTCTGCTGTGTTGCTTAGTTGTTTGATGTTGTTTGCTTTTGATGAGTGATACACATAATTTACTCTCTTTCCCTGCCCCCTCGGAGGTAAGCAATGAACCTACACAGCCCCTGAAGGCAAAGGCAGTGAGAGATTAGGGCTGGGAGTCAGAGCCTGACCAGGTGATTGTTTCAATCATTTGCAAATTGTTCCACAGTGTTTATTGCTTTTTTTGGAGTTTCTTGGATCCTCTTTCATCAGTCTCAATTTGAGATAATTAGCATTTGAGGAATAGTTTATCAGATTTTCTTTATTTGTTTCTAAACTTTTTCTTGTGGGTGGGTTTTTCTTTTCTATGTAATAAGTTACATTAATAGTAATATACTCTATAACAGAGAGAATCAATGGTTAGCTGCTATTGTATTCTGCCTGAGTTTGCTAAATCATTCTGTAGCTGGATATAAAACTACTAATTTTAAACAGCACAGGATAAAATTGTCACCTATAGTAGGGGACTAAGATATCCTAACAAAAATTTAAAAGCTTAGACTAATGCATTTTATCAAGTTGAACTGTTAGCTTGCTCATTATCTGTGCTGGGAAAAATAGGGAGATACAAGACATACATAACTTTAAACTCAGTATGTTCTTCCTCTTCCTTCTCTCCTATTTCTGTCTTGCAGAAGACAAAAGATTGAAAGGAGTTGCTACAGAAGTACAAGCATCTCAGTTTAAAACTTCTGAAGTTACAGCATGAGCAGGAAAAGACTTTGAATGAACTTCCTGTTCTGCTTGTTTTCTCCCAAGCAGAAACAATTTTATTAGGATATATGAAGATGAAGGATGGAAGAATCTGGATCTTAGCTAGCTTCAAACCAAAGACTTAAGAGAATTAATTAACCTTGAAGATACTATAGTGATCCTAAACCACCTATTAAAGCCTGACTATTCCAAGACTTTACTCCAATATATCAAGGTTTTTCAAGTGAGATAAATAAAGAGAAAACAAGCAGCAACTAACTCACTGAGATAATAGCTGGATGAAGCATTTATTGCTGTAAAATGAATCACATGGGAGAGTTTCAGAAGCAGAACTTGGAAATAGGCCTGTCTTCATATACATAGTGATTTATTTGAATCTTCAACTGATCTTTAGACCTTCTGAAAGAAAAAGGGAACTGTTTGTTTCAATAAAGATATGACTGTAAGAAGTTATGAAAATAAACTTTTGACAATATAATGAATATTTCCAAAAATAAATTATTCAATTAAATTGGGAAACCTGATGGAATGGGATGAAAATATTTGAAAAATTACTGTCTGCTATTCAGTTTGTAATAACACAAATTATTATAAAAATATTTTTTATATTTGTTGGCCATAAACTTCATTCAGTACCCAAATCCTGTGTACATCTATATTAAAAAAAATATATATTTAATTTTGGAGGACTTCAGATAAAATGTTAGTGAGTTAAGAAAGATGACACAAGCAAGGCATTTATATTCAGGTCTTCCTTTCTTCATTTAATAGATTTTTTCCATAATTAAAATAGTTTTTACACATATTTTTTCACCTATAGATCTTAGAGGATGTAAAAAATTATATTATTTATATGTCTAAGTTTATATGATGTAATTAATGATCTAGAAGACATGCTTGGTCAAACACAAATCACTGGGCTTAATGTAATGGTCACTTTGGCCTTAAAAATCTCGGTATGTTTTTACTTAGTTTACAAATGAAGGTACAGGAGATGGAAATTAGTCAGCTGAGAGAGATGCAAAGCAGAGCAGAGACGACACATCTCATTTTTCTGTATTGAATTCCCTCAAGCTCTTGCAGAATTTTGACAGAAATCATCTGTTCTAACAAAAGTTAACAGCATGGCTAGGGCAAAATCAGAGTAAATCCTTCTGCTTAGTGAATTAATAACTCTGGGGCTGGTAAGTGGCACGTGTTGCAGTGCCCAGGTCCCCTTTGGTGACCTTTGGGTTGCAGATCCATGGCTTGGAAGACCAAAACTATTCAGAAGCCATTGCAGTCAGTGGATCAACAGAACATTATTTACTGACAGGAGAAATCTTTATCTGTTGTGCTAAAGGTGATTGCAGCACCTGCAAAAGATTGCCATGCAAAGTAACAAAGCAACAAAACATCTGCCTGAACACTGCACTCTGAAACTTAGTTGCTCCAAGACATCCTGAAGGATATGTAATTCCAGTAATTTCATCTATGGTAAAACTCTAATTTGAAAATAAATTTCTTAATAATTTCACATTTTTTAAACTTTTTTTTGTTTCAGGAAAGGGTACAGAAATTTAAATAAATCACATATAGTTTGCCCTTTTCTGAGGTAAAATTCCTGTCCCAGGATTTGCAAAAGATAATCCACTGAAGAAGAAAAGAAAAATCTCTCATTGAATTTAGAAATCTACAAAATGTGTTAGTCAATTCAGAAGCTTTAAGTGAAAGTCTTCTATGGTGAATAAATGAATTATAGTACCCGTTTTTGTCTGAATAGAAAATTAAGTGTCTTAAAGTACTCTCTGACTTCACTGACATGTAGGTTTGTAACTGATAGACAACCCCTTTAGACTGTTTCTCAGGTTGTATAGACTAAAGATTCAATGTAGAATCAAAAAGGAAATAATTGTAAAAGACAGCAGTTGAAAAATTGTTGTAGCTTCTATTCATAACAACTCACCTGGTAAATGTTCCATCACGTCCCTTCTGGACTTCTTGGTTTAGTGTTTTAAATTGCATTTGATGCAGAATTGCCTGAAGTGAGTCAGTCCAGATGCCAGAGGCACAGGTAACAAAGGGAGCTCTGGAATGAGAGGGGAAGTCTACAAGATGTGACAAGAGAGGTGGAAATAATTTATGCTTTGATTTGAGAAATAGCTTACACCTAAAATCATATTGTAGCTCAAAACCATCACTAATGGGAGCACAAAGTTGTGCCTGTCAAATGTAGAATATTCTTTTGCAAACTTATGCCACTGCTGTAGACCTGTTTGTCCTGTCCTTCATCCTGGCTGTGCCTTTTTCTTCAGTCATCCATAGCAAAAAAACTTTGGCTGACTTACTACAGCCAGTGTGTACGCTTTCTCAGCCAAGCAAAGGGTATTTTAGTATTTTAGTGTTTTATTTGGCTTTCAGCATGGCTGCTGTGCTTTGGTCTCTTTGCAGAGTTCTTGGAGGCAGGGATGATCCCTGAGCTGCCACACGGTGAATTGGCTCTCTGGAGCTGCTCGGGGGCTCCAAGTTCCTTCCATCCTGCTGACTCAGAGTGCAAGGAGGCTGCCTCGGAATAGTAATGGATAGACTGTCCCCAGAGTGATACTTACAGTATCTAAAATAGCCTCTTTAGACACTCATACTCTCTAAATCTATTAAAATGTTCATAAGACCTTAGCTACTCTCCAATGTAGAAATCAGAAATCACTAGAACCACTAGAAATCAGGATTGTGGAATTATTTCCATTAGTAATGGCTGAGCAGTGGTACAAACAAGTGTGGTAAAACAGGATGACATTATCAGAGAGGGATAATGCAAATATATATCTACTGGGCGTGTTTAACATTTAAGAATTTTAACAAAATATTGATGTTCATANTCTTGAGAAAGGTTGTCCTTTGTCTGATGCCTCCCCTCTGCACACCATGGCATTATGACAGCAGGGTGGGGAGGCGCTTGTGTGTTTTGAATACATTAGGTGCATTCTGCAGACTTTCATGGTTAAACTGCTTGGGAAAACAGCACAATGCACAGGGAGCACCAACAGAAATAACATGGTGTTTTTACAGATGGGGCATCCACTGCTGCTTTTTGTTTTTCACAACCATGTGTGCTGCATAGTACCAGAGCGTATATATATATTTATGTATCACACACTCTCCTGACATTTTGTAAATGAAATGTTTATAAATTTAAAACCCTTAAGTATGTCAATCTTTGTATAAATGGTAAGCAGCCTACCATGTCCAAATCAGTCCTCCACGAAAAACAACACTTTAATATGCTGTATGCGGGAGAGTTTTTCAGTGAAAATTCTGATTTCAGATCCTGCTGCCATCTGCAGACAATGGAATGCCACACCACTGATCGGCCTGGGTGTTTGCAAGTCATTTGTGATGGGAGAGGAAGAGTTTCCTCACCTGAATTAATAATGAAAGAGGTAAATTGTAATCTTGATAGATACTCCTGCTAAGAGGAAAACTGAAAAGTATTTAAAGACCCTGCTTTATACCTATAGGCAATTTTGTAGATTATATCTAAGATAAATACTCAGATTTTGTAGACAAAAATTCCTCTGTAGGTTCTCAAGCTTCTCCGGCTCTTTTTTTTTCCACTTTATATATTTTTTTCCTTTCTATTATCAGAGCAAAATATGGTTTTAGGGGAAAAATAGGATTTTACAGAGAAATATTAAAAAACATTTTATTATTTTTGCTATTTCATTTCAAACACATAGTTGATTTTCTTTTCAATTTTAACCTAATTAATGACTTTCTTGAGAGTCAAAAAATGAATGGAAGTGGTTTCTTTCTACCAATTGTAATTCAAGCAAAGTTCCTTTCTTAGAGAAGCAAATCCTCAGGTGCCTCTCTGAAGCTAGGTTCTTTTTTTTTACAGGGGAGCAGAGGAAAGAGTGGCTCAGGAGCTTCCCCAGCCTCGGGCAGCTTGTGAAAATACAGAGAAGAATTGCAGCCTTTTTGAGGATGGGGCTGGAAGAGCTATTTTGCATTCCTGCTCTTTCCAGTGGAATGATACAGAAACTATGTTTTAACAGATTAACTCCCAGTGTTACCTTGGAACTCTATCAAGACTCGATCTATGCCAACAAAGAATTAGTAAGTATGTAGAAATTACGTTATTTTCAAGTACAATTCTGCATTCCTTACAATAATAATAAAGATTTCCTGATTAAAGTGAAGTCTGAACAAGATAATATGTACTTTAAATACTTGAAGCAGCTGTAGAGTGTGTAATAAAAGATAGACTTGAATTATTTTAGGAGTAACAGGAAAAAATCTGCTAGTTCTTTCAATCTGCTAGTTTGTATGAGTCCTAATAAATAAAGTAATTTTCACATTTTAACATGTCTTATTTAGTGCAAAATTGAAAACTAGCGATTCGTCAGAACAAAAATGCCTGCAAGACTGATAGTACCAATAATAGAAGGTTTTATACTGTGTTGTGGAAATTTGATAAACAGAACTTTGAAATATACACTTGAGATTGGGGTCAGATTTTCAGAAGAAAAGTTGTGTACAATTTGGGCTTTTGAAATTTGGAGAAGTATAAAAATATCTATACCATAATGTTTTGAATACTAACACAGCACTGCAAGGTCTGGTTCAGTGGAAACTGATGAATGTGTTTGAGCCCATGTGCTTTAACTTATTCATGAGAGACTGGATTTATTTTATTTTGCTGGATTAAAGCCTGTACTAAAAACAGCAGTCAGAAGAGAGTTTTTGCAAAGTCAGGTTCTTAGACAGGAATGCAGGTGTTTCCTGCAGCAAGATTGTGAAGAATAAAGTGAGAGCTGTGGAAAGAAAGAGGGAAGTTGTTCTGAGTTTACAGCAGGTACAATTGTCATGTAAATATCCAGCATCCATAGGTACAAACATTTCTAGCGGGAAATGTTAAGATATGAAAATCAGAAAAAAGTTTGGAAGAAGAGATTACAACAATAAGTGAAACTACATTATATGAGAAAACCCTGTATAGATGACAAATTAATGGAAAAATAATTTAATTATAGACGCTACAGCTTTTGTATTGCATTCATAACTGAAGCATTTTTTCCTCCTCTTCCTCTTCTTTTCTTTCACTCTTATGCTCCTTCCTGCTTTGCTTCTTCTTTTTCTTCCTATTGAACATAAACACTATTTCCTAATATGTGATTGTTTTGGCATTACATGCTCCACATATCATCTTAATAATACATGAATTATACTTACTGAAGCTTTATAAGCATTTTCATTGTAAACAGAAGGAGTAAAAATGTGTATTGAGAGATGGATAGGCATTTGGAAATTAATGTAAAATTTAGAAATTATTAAGCTCTGGAGAGTCTAGATGGAAAGAATGCTGTCAGCATGCTGGGGGATGGCTGGTTTCCAGAGGAAAAAAAGCTGTAGATCCTGAAGCTAGAGAGCTGCTACTATAGCCTTCCACTTCAAAATAAGAGAGACAATATAGAATGCTTTTATGAGGCTAAGTGTTATGTTTCCTGCAGACTTGAAGCAGAGAGGTATACCTGGGTGAAGGAAACAGTGGCAAAAATTGCAGAGCTTCAAAGGGTCACCACAGCGTGTGTTTTTCTGTGATTGCAGCCACCCCATGCTTTCACAGCCTGTGCATGGAAATGGCAGTCTCTCCTCTCCTAAAAGCTAGTTGCAAACCAGAATAGAAATGGCTCTATTCCTACCACTCTGACTTCTCCATGGAGAGTGAGGTTTTTCCAAGCACTTCATGCAATATGAGAGCAATCAGAGAATCTCAAAGAGGACAAAGGAGACATTGAAAAGAGGAGAGAGAAGAGCTTCAAGAACACTGAAAAATGAATGCAAATAAGCTGCACTGACCTGTAGTACAAAATAAAGTGATTCAGCCGCTTCTACAGTGTATTTTTTACTTCAGAATTGGGGCCTGAAGAGCGAGTATTTTTGGAGATTTTTACTTCTACAGTGTAGAACTTGGAGGACCAAAAGGAACCAGTGCCTGCAGTATTACTAAAAACATGATGGTTAAAGAGATATGTAAACATTTTATTTCATGGTGAAATAACTCATTCCAAACACTTGGCTTAGAATAACAACCTCCTCAGTGATGATTCCAGAAGCTGCTGTGCCTGCTGGATTTACACACTTGTTTCAGTACTCAGAGTGGGGATGACTGGTGCATAAGGGATCTGACTCTCAGGGGAAACTGACACAGATGGAAAAGGTAGGAGTCAGCCCAGGCCCTGATAATTATTCACTGAAAACAATGCTCTGAATCGTTCATGCTGAAGATCTCATTCTGCGCAAGACAGTGCAGGGATCAGGAACGCCCACAAGGCTTTCACAGGTGGGAGCACAGACCCTGCGAGCAATTTCTGAAAATACACACCCCTGCCACTCTGGGGACAAATCAACGCTCTTAATCTTGACTGGAGGCAATGTTTTATTATTTGGTTTTCCTAGTGGAAAAGTCTTTCATCGTAATTAAAGTGAAAATATTTTTCCAAAATGCAAGGATTATGTCACTGTTACCATCTTCGACAGCTCATTTGACAAAGCAGTTGCAAGGACAGCATGGAAAGAAACGTGTATTCCTTTCTTCTACAAAGACCAGGGACGATAATCTAGACCTGTCTGGTGGAAACTTTACTTTTTTTCCTTTGATATCTTTATAAAGGCAGTATCAGACCAAAAGTTCAGTTAGTGCAGACTGGTTTAGTTCCACTGGAATAAATGACATTACATAAAAGCCTTGGCCTCTGTATATAGACATTGCCTAAGAGTCTGCTGTGTTGCTTAGTTGTTTGATGTTGTTTGCTTTTGATGAGTGATACACATAATTTACTCTCTTTCCCTGCCCCCTCGGAGGTAAGCAATGAACCTACACAGCCCCTGAAGGCAAAGGCAGTGAGAGATTAGGGCTGGGAGTCAGAGCCTGACCAGGTGATTGTTTCAATCATTTGCAAATTGTTCCACAGTGTTTATTGCTTTTTTTGGAGTTTCTTGGATCCTCTTTCATCAGTCTCAATTTGAGATAATTAGCATTTGAGGAATAGTTTATCAGATTTTCTTTATTTGTTTCTAAACTTTTTCTTGTGGGTGGGTTTTTCTTTTCTATGTAATAAGTTACATTAATAGTAATATACTCTATAACAGAGAGAATCAATGGTTAGCTGCTATTGTATTCTGCCTGAGTTTGCTAAATCATTCTGTAGCTGGATATAAAACTACTAATTTTAAACAGCACAGGATAAAATTGTCACCTATAGTAGGGGACTAAGATATCCTAACAAAAATTTAAAAGCTTAGACTAATGCATTTTATCAAGTTGAACTGTTAGCTTGCTCATTATCTGTGCTGGGAAAAATAGGGAGATACAAGACATACATAACTTTAAACTCAGTATGTTCTTCCTCTTCCTTCTCTCCTATTTCTGTCTTGCAGAAGACAAAAGATTGAAAGGAGTTGCTACAGAAATACAAGCATCTCAGTTTAAAACTTCTGAAGTTACAGCATGAGCAGGAAAAGACTTTGAATGAACTTCCTGTTCTGCTAGTTTTCTCCCAAGCAGAAACAATTTTATTAGGATATATGAAGATGAAGGATGGAAGAATCTGGATCTTAGCTAGCTTCAAACCAAAGACTTAAGAGAATTAATTAACCTTGAAGATACTATAGTGATCCTAAACCACCTATTAAAGCCTGACTATTCCAAGACTTTACTCCAATATATCAAGGTTTTTCAAGTGAGATAAATAAAGAGAAAACAAGCAGCAACTAACTCACTGAGATAATAGCTGGATGAAGCATTTATTGCTGTAAAATGAATCACATGGGAGAGTTTCAGAAGCAGAACTTGGAAATAGGCCTGTCTTCATATACATAGTGATTTATTTGAATCTTCAACTGATCTTTAGACCTTCTGAAAGAAAAAGGGAACTGTTTGTTTCAATAAAGATATGACTGTAAGAAGTTATGAAAATAAACTTTTGACAATATAATGAATATTTCCAAAAATAAATTATTCAATTAAATTGGGAAACCTGATGGAATGGGATGAAAATATTTGAAAAATTACTGTCTGCTATTCAGTTTGTAATAACACAAATTATTATAAAAATATTTTTTATATTTGTTGGCCATAAACTTCATTCAGTACCCAAATCCTGTGTACATCTATATTAAAAAAAATATATATTTAATTTTGGAGGACTTCAGATAAAATGTTAGTGAGTTAAGAAAGATGACACAAGCAAGGCATTTATATTCAGGTCTTCCTTTCTTCATTTAATAGATTTTTTCCATAATTAAAATAGTTTTTACACATATTTTTTCACCTATAGATCTTAGAGGATGTAAAAAATTATATTATTTATATGTCTAAGTTTATATGATGTAATTAATGATCTAGAAGACATGCTTGGTCAAACACAAATCACTGGGCTTAATGTAATGGTCACTTTGGCCTTAAAAATCTCGGTATGTTTTTACTTAGTTTACAAATGAAGGTACAGGAGATGGAAATTAGTCAGCTGAGAGAGATGCAAAGCAGAGCAGAGACGACACATCTCATTTTTCTGTATAGAATTCCCTCAAGCTCTTGCAGAATTTTGACAGAAATCATCTGTTCTAACAAAAGTTAACAGCATGGCTAGGGCAAAATCAGAGTAAATCCTTCTGCTTAGTGAATTAATAACTCTGGGGCTGGTAAGTGGCACGTGTTGCAGTGCCCAGGTCCCCTTTGGTGACCTTTGGGTTGCAGATCCATGGCTTGGAAGACCAAAACTATTCAGAAGCCATTGCAGTCAGTGGATCAACAGAACATTATTTACTGACAGGAGAAATCTTTATCTGTTGTGCTAAAGGTGATTGCAGCACCTGCAAAAGATTGCCATGCAAAGTAACAAAGCAACAAAACATCTGCCTGAACACTGCACTCTGAAACTTAGTTGCTCCAAGACATCCTGAAGGATATGTAATTCCAGTAATTTCATCTATGGTAAAACTCTAATTAGAAAATAAATTTCTTAATAATTTCACATTTTTTAAACTTTTTTTTGTTTCAGGAAAGGGTACAGAAATTTAAATAAATCACATATAGTTTGCCCTTTTCTGAGGTAAAATTCCTGTCCCAGGATTTGCAAAAGATAATCCACTGAAGAAGAAAAGAAAAATCTCTCATTGAATTTAGAAATCTACAAAATGTGTTAGTCAATTCAGAAGCTTTAAGTGAAAGTCTTCTATGGTGAATAAATGAATTATAGTACCCGTTTTTGTCTGAATAGAAAATTAAGTGTCTTAAAGTACTCTCTGACTTCACTGACATGTAGGTTTGTAACTGATAGACAACCCCTTTAGACTGTTTCTCAGGTTGTATAGACTAAAGATTCAATGTAGAATCAAAAAGGAAATAATTGTAAAAGACAGCAGTTGAAAAATTGTTGTAGCTTCTATTCATAACAACTCACCTGGTAAATGTTCCATCACGTCCCTTCTGGACTTCTTGGTTTAGTGTTTTAAATTGCATTTGATGCAGAATTGCCTGAAGTGAGTCAGTCCAGATGCCAGAGGCACAGGTAACAAAGGGAGCTCTGGAATGAGAGGGGAAGTCTACAAGATGTGACAAGAGAGGTGGAAATAATTTATGCTTTGATTTGAGAAATAGCTTACACCTAAAATCATATTGTAGCTCAAAACCATCACTAATGGGAGCAGAAAGCTGTGCCTGTCAAATGTAGAATATTCTTTTGCAAACTTATGCCACTGCTGTAGACCTGTTTGTCCTGTCCTTCATCCTGGCTGTGCCTTTTTCTTCAGTCATCCATAGCAAAAAAACTTTGGCTGACTTACTACAGCCAGTGTGTACGCTTTCTCGGCCAAGCAAAGGGTATTTTAGTATTTTAGTGTTTTATTTGGCTTTCAGCATGGCTGCTGTGCTTTGGTCTCTTTGCAGAGTTCTTGCAGGCAGGGATGATCCCTGAGCTGCCACACGGTGAATTGGCTCTCTGGAGCTGCTCGGGGGCTCCAAGTTCCTTCCATCCTGCTGACTCAGAGTGCGAGGAGGCTGCCTCGGAATAGTAATGGATAGACTGTCCCCAGAGTGATACTTACAGTATCTAAAATAGCCTCTTTAGACACTCATACTCTCTAAATCTATTAAAATGTTCATAAGACCTTAGCTACTCTCCAATGTAGAAATCAGAAATCACTAGATCCACTAGAAATCAGGATTGTGGAATTATTTCCATTAGTAATGGCTGAGCAGTGGTACAAACAAGTGTGGTAAAACAGGATGACATTATCAGAGAGGGATAATGCAAATATATATCTACTGGGCGTGTTTAACATTTAAGAATTTTAACAAAATATTGATGTTCAGACAGATGTGTCTGTTATCTGGGATCCCTCTGTGAATTTCCAACAAAGAAAGACTGACTTCTCCTATACAACATCTCTCAGACTTACCTGTTGGCAAGAAGAAAGCAAAACTGGTGGAATTTATCAGCCTTTCGTTGCCTACTAAGAATCTTTCCATAATACACATTCACAGCATGGCTACACTTCCAACTTTAAATGCAAATTAATGCTATTTTTTTTAGGCTGCTTCTCATCTCTGTTAACCTGTAGAATCCAGCACATACTTTTGTTGATGCACTGAATATTGTCAAGTTGTATGAATGTTATCAAGATATATTCTATATCTAATTGTAAATTTTTTTTACTTAGAATTTCTAGAAGTATTTTCATTTCTCTTCCATCATTTCCTCTTTACTGTGGGATTTAAGCAAGCACAGGTGAAAATTAAGGCTGTCATTAACAACTGAAAAAGGCATATGGCTCTTGTTGACACTACAGAAAAATAACCATTAAAATGTTCCTGAATGCACAATACAAAGACTGTGAAAATATATGCTGGTTAGGCAGCTAGAGCATTTGCAACAACTTTGTAACAGCTTAAAAATCTCATTACTCTGAATGAGAAACTATCGCTATGAAATCCAAACATTTAAATTAGCATATGTTGTAAGCTGGCTTGGCCATGTGGTTCAACCTCTTTAAAGCTCTTTCTTCTCTTTCTTCTGGGTACTAAATCCAAAACCTGTCAAAAAAAAGCCATGGGCTACAACACATCACACAAATATACAAGCAGTACTGGTCTTAGATATTCTGGGAGATCAGGCAAATCACTTCCATACTTTGTCCCTCATTGTCATAAACACTATATATACCCTTTTCCATTACATTTTATAAAACTCTTTTTTCTAGTTAGAGCTACATTTCCTTTATGTTATAAAAAGGAAATATCTTGCAACTACAAAAAAAATTGGCCCGTTATGAAGACAAAGGTCTTCATTCAGTGTTCCTGCAACACATTACCTTAATGATAGGAAGTGTTGCTAGGAAGTTTTCCCAATGATTTCTAGGACATGGACCTGAATATTTAAACCTTAAGGGGAGGATTAGAGTCTGCATTTTCAGTGATAAGTAATTCCTTGATTCCATTAGACTCTTCCACGATGCTCAACAGTAAAAGCAGTTTTGTAGCAAGACCTCTGCTGTTATCCAAGGTGGTCATCCAGGTTTCTGCTGGGTAGCCTAAAAGCTCATTTAGCCTGTGGACAGAATTCAGATATTCAGAATTCAGTTGACAAATCACAGATTTTTGCTGTGGCACCAAAGACTTTCTGTTACCCGTCCATGACAGAAAGCCTTGTTCCCACGGTAGAGAGGGTAACCAAAATGCTCATTACTGTGTTTACATCTGTGCCACAGCCTGAGGCCCTTATTCCAGGTGAGTTTGTCTAAGGACTAATTAAGGGCTAAGCTGAGAAAACACTGAAATAACAGGGAGAATTAAGCAAGTATTCTAAGCATTCTAAGCCTCACATTTCCTGTCCACCTTATGCCAGATTAGCAAAAGGCTTGTATTGGTCACATCTACTCTTGTAGCCTTCAGCTTTATTGCCACTGACTGACTCTTTATGTTAGCCACAGGTGAAATTTTAAAACTGGCAGGTGCAAAACATTCCTTTAACTATGCGACTTAAGAAACCCCAAGCTGAAAGGTTTTATGTCTTGCTACTCTTGTTTTGGAAATAGCTTAACTTCTCAGAAACTCTGTACTTAAAAAATATCCAATGGATGGGTTGTAAACCCTGCAGAGATTGTTTTTCTTCTTTAGCACACTGTTATTCCACTTGAAATAAAAAAAGTTTTTGAAACATACTGGTAGATCTTATGCTATTAAGTTTTATAAAACTCATAATTTGGGGTTCCATTCAGCCTAGCTGTTTCTCATTAAAAGTATTAAATAATGAAATGTTTGCAAAATTTGTTTGGGGAGGGGGAATCTGATTGTTTGAACATGATAGCCTTGTAAGTGTGCTGAAAACATTTATAAGAAAAGTTCCTGATCTTGCAGGCATTTAGACAGCAATATTACTTGAGATACCGAATGTCAAGGCTTGCTGCTCTTGTATGGAAAGTAACAAATAGATATGCTATTGCTCTGCAAATCTCAAAGCTAATTTGCAACACAGATTAAGACAGAAAATGTGTAGTTTTAAAAGGAACAGAATGAGCTGGATAATTTTTTCATTCTTCCACTCTTATATTTATGCAAAGTTTGGAACAGAGAATTCTATAGCACAGACCAAACTGAGAGATTCCACAGGAACATGTCTTTGCTTAGAGGTCACTGAATATCACTGCTTTTCCCTTCTCAGTCACAAATACCACAACACAGCTCTGCAGCATGAAGTTCTAAGGCTGGGACTGAAAGAGTGATTTAAGAAGAAATAGGTACAATCAGGTTGTGGAAGTTTAATTAAGCCAAATTGACAACATGGGAGAGCCTTAGAAGTGCAGTTCTTAAGTGCTTACTCAAGTATCCTTTGGGGTCTCTCCCTTGAGAGATGTGGTGATTCTGTCAAGACTGTAAGAATATATTGGGAGGGGTAAACAACATGAGGGACTTAAACACCAGTTGGTGCTTCAAGCAAAGA